CTCCTGTACAGTCTCCTTAATAAACCTGTTAAACTTTTCCCCTGGTTCTCTGAGTGGTTCTCTGCGTGTGGGTCAGATCTCTTTAATTGATCATGACAGATTCTAGAACTGAGGTTTTCCGGACCGAGATGTCTGATGTATTTCCTCGCATGCTGCTGATGGAGTTGTCAAAGTGTTTCCCATTTTGATCTTGAGGTTTCCAGCCCATACTGTGCACAGATGTTGCTGTACATCCTGCAGTTATGTCCCTGAATGTCTCAGGGGCCTCTTTGCACAGTCTGCACCTGGGGTCTTGTCCAGTGTGGTAGATGTGGGCCTCTATTGCTCTGGTTCTCAGGGCCTGCTTCTGTGCAGCCATGATGGGTGCCTCTGTGCAGTCCTTCAGTCCAGCTCTGTCTAGCCTTTGGTAGGATTTCCTGACATCCCCTACTTGTTATGTTACATAACACAGTTACGTTTCAGTAGTACATCCTTTGTAGGGGCTTGTCCTCCCATGACGGAACCTCCAGTACCCAGTCTCCTGTTCCTTATTGTCTGAGAGATTCACTGAGCATGTCATATGTTGGATGGACTATTTCATTCTGATAGTGGCTGCATTGCTGTATTTAGGATGAAACCCTCCGTGTATGATTAGGAGCTTTTAGGTTTTAACATCTGGGGCCTGTATCTCATCCTTTGGCCATCTTTTTAGACCAGGGTATTTGATTACTAGTAGAGTATAGCGATTTACTGCCCGAGACTTGTTCTTGCCATTTGGCTTGCTTCTAAGGACCTAAAGTTTGTACAGATGCATCCGATGCTTCTGCTGCTTTCTATGTTCATTGGCACAGAGTGGCTTTCCTATATTTGCAGTGATAAGCTTGTAAAATGTAGTTTTTAAAGGTTTTAAAGTGAGTAAGTCCACCTAAAAACTTCATCTGTGCAGTCAGTTCATCAAGATTACGATTCTGATTAGGAATATTATTTCACTGTTGGGGCAGCTCAGACCCCCACATGACGACAGGGCTCTGTCGCTTGAAATCCCCTCAAACAGCAGCCACTGGCCCTATCGGCTCTTTGGGAATTTCCACTACTGTTCGTGGCGGCTGGAAGGCGTTTTTCATGTATGTAATCCAAACTGCAGGAACCAGAATAACAAAAGCATGTTAGGAATCCAGTTTGTGTGGGTTGTGTTTTTGTGTCTTTTCTCCCTCCACCATCAGGTGTTGCCCTGTCCTCGTCGGTCCTCTCAAACACCTGCGGCTGGTTGACTAATCACTGAGGACTATTTGAGCCATGGACTGTCACTACCTCGACGCCAGAGTGTTTGCCAGTTTTGGGTACTCTAGCCAAGCTGAGTTTTGCTGAGTCTAACTTAGTCTTTGTTTTTTCGCTGAGCCTAACCTACTTTTGTCTTTGCCTTTTTGGCAGGAAGCCTTCCCACAAGCTGGATGTTTGGCCTTCTTCCCCTGGAAGGATTGTTTTGAGTCTCACACTGAGCAGGGGATACTCCTCCACAAGTTTCGTTCAAGTCCTCTTGGATTCCCAAGTGACAGTCCGCTCAATAGCTTCTCTGGGTCTAACCAAGTCAATAATTGTCTGCCCTCCAACGAGTCTCAACCACTGGACAAACCCACACCGACTGGATTCTGGGAGGAAAGTTTTCTCCACTAACGTCAGTCCCGTTTTCTCTGTCTCTTCAGGTCATCGTTCAAAGTTCCAACTGATCCTGAACTAACCACTGATACTTCCCTTCCCTCTTCCAGTTCCGGTTCACCAGTTCACTGTGTTTCCTTAATCCAACCCCGCTGGTTTCATCAATAAACCTGTTTAAACTTTTACTCTGGTTCTCTGAGTGGTTTACTGCATGTGGGTCAGATCTCTTAAGAAAATCATGACAAAGCAAACATATTTTGCTGGCAGGTTTCAACATTTTAGATTCATTTAGGCATTAATAAAATTTTTTAGGGGAGTGAACATAGCACTCTGCATCAGCAGTGCTGTGTCTGTCTCTCTGCCATCTCCCAGATCAGCTTCTCTTATTGGTTGATGTGGTGTGTCGAGCAGCAAAACTTTCAGTTAAAAGGTTTTTGGTTGAAAAAAAAAATGAGCTGACAAGTAAAAAGAAAGTCTGATTACTCATTGATATTAACCTGACAACAGATCCTCACATACTAAACACCAGAATTTCTGTACAGGACTCCATAATCATAGTGCATGTATATATTCAGCTGGTGCATTATTTGAGCATTGCTCGTATATTGTACTCTACGAAGGATTTTGTATTGAATTAGTAGTAAATTAGCATTTCCAGTCTTGCTAAAGCTTCTGGGACAGATTTTAGACCGTACATATTGATTAAGCCTAACTGATAAATCAGTGTTCCGTTTTTTAATGGGGAGTGAACAGTGATGGGCAGTAGCGCCGCTACATGTAGCGAAGCTATTAGTTTAACTACATTTTCTAGTAGCTTGACTGTAGCATCGCTGCTTTATTTATTAAGTAACTTTCCAGTAGTGACGTTATTGTTTTTATCAAGTAGCGACGTAGCGTCCACAAACGCTACAAAATCCTGGGCATAACTAAGTAATGAAACAAGGTTTTCTATTTTTGAGACAACAATCGGAGTTATTCGTTGGACATTCATGCATGAGCCTCTATTCTGCCTCTCCTGTCTGTGTCTACGAAACATGCGCATGCGCACTGCAGTGGAACTCAATGAATGACACCCACAGACACACACACAGGGTGGAGGAGGAGACAGGAGCAGAGCGAGAGCAGCCAACTGTCCCTACCACACCGTGGCCTTATCTTTAGAGATTTTGAAACTTGTTGAATCCTCTGATAAAAGTACGTGTTCAGATGTTTTAAGGCTTATTTGCACAGATAAGATTTTTTAGGTATGGAGGAACAGCTCTCCCATGTATAAAAATAAATACATAAATAAATAAATGTTCAATAAATAAAGTAACATTCAATTAATTACCCCCCAAAATACAATGAATAA